TAACAGAGATCCAGAAAACGAGAGAGTAGGGAATAATTTTTCTCACCAACCCTTTAAGGTGAGTTGCAGCATCCTCATTCCCCTGGATCAACCTCATCATCCCACAGTTCTCCAGGGCCAACCTCTCCAGCAAGTGTTGGTCAACGTCATTTCCAATGCCGATAGTGAAGACGCAGAACCTGTTGCGAATGGCTTCCTTGAGATTGCTGACAATCTTGCTCGTCTGGACCTCCCCCATCGTGGGACGCCCATCGGTGAGGAACACCAAGAGGGAGGCGCTTCGTGATTCAGCTTCATTTTGGGTGATGTAATCGTTGAGGATTTTGGCGCTGGTCTGTAGAGCATCGTTAATATTGGTACCTGTGACGATACCATGGAAATAAATGTGATGTTAGGTAGGTTAGAGGTGTTCAACCTTGGCAACTTTAAGACCTGTGGACTTCAACTCCCAGAATTCCCCAGCCAATCATTTTGGGAGTTGGTCCACAAGTCTTAAAGTTGCCAAGATGGACATCCTCTGAACTAGATCCTTAGATAACATTGCGAAGTTGATCTTAACCACCTGCATTTAGACATGACTGCTTGGAAGGTGTTTAGACTTCTTAGAAATATCCAATTTACTACAACAGGAGACAAAACTCCCTGCCTTGGGATTCCATTACCATACAAGGAATATACAAAAAGAGAGAAGGTCAAAAAACACGAGACAGACCCAGAAGATTTTCAGTGCCATTACAACAGCATCAAATAACAATGGTTGAGGCTGCCAGAAAAGCAAAAACCAGAACTCCATACCAGAAGAAAGAAGAAAGAAGAAGAAGAAAGAAGAAAGAAGAAGAAGAAAGAAGAAAGAAGAAAGAAGAAAGAAGAAAGAAGAAGGAGGAGGAGGAGGAGGAGGAGGAGGAGGAGGAGGAGGGTGATTTTGGGCCAGTCCTTCTCCCTCAGCCCAACCCACCTCACAGGGTTATTGTTGTGGGGAAAATAGGAGGGAGAATTATTAAGGTATGTTCACCACCTTTATAAAAATAAAGAAAGCAAGATGTCAATCAGCCACAAAGAAGAGGGAGTCAAGCTATTCTCCAAAGCGCCTGAAGGCAGGACAAGAAGCAATGGATGGAAATTAATCAAGGAGAGAAGCAACCTGGAACTAAGGAGAAACTTCCTGACAGTGAGAACAATTAACCAGTGGAACAACCTGCCTCCAGAAGCTCCAGCACTGGAAGTTTTTAAGAAGATACTGGACAGCCATTTGTCCGAAATGGTATAGGGTTTCCTGCCTGAGCAGGGGGTTGGACTAGAAGACCTCCAAGGTCCCTTCCAACATCATCATCATCATCATCATCATCATCATCATCATCATCATCATCATCATCATCATCATTATTATTATTATATCACCTTCATTAGGGGGCATGCGATGGATGTGGAAGATGGCGTCTCGTATGTTGTTGGACGTGACAGGCACCAACTGCTCTTCTTTCCAGACCTGGATTTCATTGGAGAAGCCAATAATGTTGAAGTGGTCTTCAGGCCGAAGGTCTTGGAGAATGGTGAACAAGGCCTCTTTGGTCTGGAATGAAACAAAATGGGGCCAGTAAGGGAGTTTGTGTGGTTTATACAGCGGGCACTGTGACACCATTGATTTATGACGATCCAAGGGTATGCTTACCACTGATCAAACACATGGCATGGGGTTTGGGTGCTTTCTTAGAACGCACAACTATGGACTGTAGCCCAAAACAAGGGGCACCCCATCATATGCAAAAAAAAAAAAAAAAGAGAGTGATTTATTCTTTGCAAAAAGGTCTACACACCCGCATACCACAGCTGTAGGCCAAGTAACATTCAGGGAATATATGATCAGGAATGAGGAACTTGGTTCTGCAGATGTTATTGGGTTCAGTGGCTTGGTTCTACCATTGGAAGGAGTAAAACAAGGGTCTTAAATGTCAGATACTAAGGGCAGTAAGAATAGCTCCCTGGTTGCTTCTTCTAAACCAGTGATGGCGAACCTTTTAGAGATCGAGTGCCCATAAACCGGCCCTGCCCCCCGCCCACCCCCGCTTCGCCCCTGCCCGCAGCCCGTCCCCACTCTGCCCCCACCCCGCCCACCCACAGGGCTACCCACTGCCTCCACAGCCCGCCGCAGATTGCCCAAACAGCCCAGCAGCGCCATGGCAGCCACGCCCTCCACCCACGCCCTGCAGCATCAGCTGCGCGACGGGGCGCGAGTGCAGTGTCCCCGCTGTCTGGCTGCCATGTTCTTGGCTGCGCTGCTCAGGTGATTCTCCACGGGGGATGTTGATGAGGAGGGGCCACGGAGGAGGCGGGGCTGGGGCAATGGCATGCGTGCCCACAGAGAGGGCTCTGAGTGCCGCCTCTGGCACGCGTGCCATAGGTTCGCCACCACTGTTCTAAACCAAAGTCCTTTCTCAACCTTGGCAGCCTGAAGATGTGTGGACTTCAATTCCCAGAATTCCCCAGCCAGCATAGAGTTCTGGGAGTTGAAGGCCACTCATCTTCAAGCTACCAAGGTTGAGGGCCACTGTTGTAAACCATCAGATGACGCACATCCTTGGAAGAAATAACCATTGTGCTACACATCCTGCCTTTTGCCTTCACTTCCATTAACCTGAGATAATATAACTAATAATCTCAGATTATGAGAGTTGCTCTTCAATATCTGCAGGTGTGCAAGCCCTCTGTTCTGCAAGGAATGGAGACATAAGGGCTGTGATGGAGCCCATCATCTATTCTTATAGTTTATGGATTTACCAGTGATTTTCAGATTTAATCTCTGGAAAAGACAATGACGAAAGAATCTAAAATTCATTCTGACGGTCAGGCTAAAATCCTATCCTCTTTATGGAACCTGGTCACCAAACCTATCTAAATTCCACCAGGATGGTGTCACTTGTCTCAGTTGCTAAATGGGCCTCGCACTAGCTTCCTGCCTTCCCAACCTATTGAACTCCAACTTCCATTATTCCCTAGCTTACGGGCCAGGGACAATGGAGTTGTACGACCAGCCAACTATGGCTTGTATTTTCTCAACTACGCTTCACAATGTTGGATAAAAATGCTCAGCAAGCAATCAAGCTACATCTTGGCTCTTCCTCTCTGTCTCAGATCAAAAATGGTGTTTTGGATCTCGGAGGCCAGGATAAACTTGGAGAAGATTGCAGAGATGTTGTTCCCTTGTAATCATGCACGGACGTTAGGGACGTCATGATTAAACACTGCAATGGAATTCAGAGTCAGTATTCCAGCTGGTGACCTTGCCATTACATCCGAGAGCTATCAAGGCTTTATTTATTTATTTATTTATTTATTTCCTTAGTACTGATGAGATAAAGGGGAACACCCACCCCCCTCACCCCAGATGCAGGCCATTTCTTTGGATTAAAACCTTCACTTTCAGATATGTGAGGTGGCCTTGAATTACGTTGTTGTTTCCAATCTCACTGTCCCTTTTGTTAAAGAGGGAACAGCTGCGCTGTTTTCCCGTTATCTCTAAGCCAAAAACTTTGGGGTCTCTGGCCAAACTTGGTTTTTGTGGTGCATGCCAGGATTTATGCTCCAAAAAAGTGAAAAGAACATGGGGGGGAGGAGGGGAGAAACACAAGCAAACGTTATCTTAAATTTAAAGGTGAGCAAATGGAATGTTTAAATCAATGGATTAAACTACTGGTAGTGTTTGACTTGCAACCACAATTGAGCCCAAAATTGTGCTTGCAAGTCACTATTACCTAAGTGAGATAGTTGTTCCCTAATTTTGCCCCATTTTACAACCTTTCCTGCCACAGTTGTTAAGTGAATCACTGCAGGTGTTAGTTATTAACATGGTTGTTATGTGAATCTGGCTCCCCCTTATTTGTCAGAAGGTTGCAAAATGTGATCCCATGACCTCAGGGCACTGCAACCGTCAGAATAGAATAGAATAGAATAGAATAGAATAGAATGGAATGGAATGGAATGGAATGGAATGGAATGGAATATGGAATATGGAATATGGAATATGGAATATGGAATATGGAATAGAATAGAATAGAATAGAATAGAATAGAATAGAATAGAATAGAATGGAATGGAATGGAATGGAATGGAATGGAATATGGAATATGGAATATGGAATATGGAATATGGAATATGGAATAGAATAGAATAGAATAGAATAGAATAGAATAGAATAGAATAGAATGGAATGGAATGGAATGGAATGGAATGGAATATGGAATATGGAATATGGAATATGGAATATGGAATATGGAATATGGAATAGAATAGAATAGAATAGAATAGAATAGAATAGAATAGAATAGAATAGAATAGAATAGAATAGGAATAGAATATGGGATGGAATAGAATAGAATAGAATAGAATAGAATAGAATAGAATAGAATAGAATAGAATAGAATATGGGATGGAATGGAATAGAATAGAATAGAATATGGAATAGAATAGAATAGAATAGAATAGAATAGAATAGAATAGAATAGAATAGAATAGAATAGAATAGAATAGAATAGAATAGAAAATATGGAATGGAATGGAATAGAATAGAATAGAACAGAATAGAATAGAATAATAACTTTATTGTCACTTTATATGTACACTAATTGGCATATATTAAAATGAAATTTCGTTGCATTCAGCCCTCAAAGGGTCACCACCTCCGATATACACTACATATATATGACATTAATTAATTAATAAAACAGAATTATGCATATACCCACATATATTACATGACACAGAAAAACAAAAGTCTAGTTCAGGTTATGTATACATGTGCATGGCGAGAAAAACGAATCTTGCGAGTTTACCAGACGGATGGCAGAAGGAACGAAGCTGTTACAGAATCGGGAAGTCCTGCTACAAATACTTCGAAACCTCCTCCCAGAGGGGCGCAACAGAAACAGATCGTAAAGTGTCTCTAACAATGCTTTGATCTCTAAGCACAGATAAGCGCTTATAAGCAGCATCCTGAATACCAGGGAGCGAACTTCCTCTGGTCTTCTCGGCTGTCCTTAACCATTTTCTGTATGGACCGTCTGTCTGAGGCACGGCTGCCACCAAACCAGACAGTGATGTAGTTTGTTAAAATGCTTTCAATCGTGCCTCTGTAAAAAGTGGCCAGGACAGAAGGAGAACGATGTGCCCTCCTCATCCGACTCAGGAAATGCAGACGCTGTTTTTGCACGCTTCACTAAGGATGACGTGTGGAGAGACCAATTCAGATTGTTAGTTATCTGCACCCCCAGATACATAATACTGTTGACCACCTCTACAGCTACATCCTTGATCCTGAGTGGAGTATGACGATGCTGGCTCTTTCTGAAACCTACAATGATCTCCTTTGTTTTGTCAACATTTAGAACCAGGTTACTTTTACTGCACCAGTCCACCGGAGCCTTCACTTCTTCCCTATAAGCACCTTCATTGTCAAAATTTTGATCACGTGACCATGCTGCAATAGTTGTGTGAACAACGGTCATAAGTCACTTTTTTCAGTGCCGCGGTAACTTCAAGCCGTCACTAAATGAACTGTTATAGCTCGAGGACTACCTGCACTTCCTAGATTCTGAAAAATGTCCTCCTCCTGTTGCAATCAAATATTATAATTTGTTGAGAATTGAGAGACAACAACAACAACAACGACAACGACAACGACAACGACAACGACAACGACAACAACAACAATAATAATAATAATAATAATAAAGTTGGAAGAGACCTTGGAGGTCATCTAGTCCAACCCCCTGCTCAGGCAGGAACCCTACACCATTTCAGACAAATGGCTGTCCAGTCTCTTCTTAAAAACCTCCAGTGTTGGAGCATTCACCGCTTCTGGAGGCAGGTTGTTCCACTGGTTAATTGTTCTAACTGTCAGGAAGTTTCTCCTTAGTTCTAGGTTGTTTCTCTCCTTGATGAGTTTCCATCCGTTGCTTCTTGTCCTGCCTTAAGGGGCTTTGGAGAATAGATTGACTCCCTCTTCTTTGGGGCAGCCCCTGAGATATTGGAAGACTGCTATCATGTTCCCCCTCGTCCTTCTCTTCATTAAACTAGACATACCCAATTCCAGCAACCGTTCCTTACAACCAAGATATTTAGTGGCCCCATGGACTGCCAATTATGCACCCCTGTTTTAGACCTTGAGATGCCTTGCAAGGGATTCAACCTTGTGTCCCTCCCTTCTTGCAGATCTCTTGAGCTTTGGGACCCAATCCTTCCCACCTGCCACAGGTCTTGACCTGTTCTTTCCAAGAGGTTTAAGATCATGATGCAGAGACAGAATGGGGGCCGTGACATTTCCATCTCACAATCCCTCACTTGTTGCCCAGTGTGGGATGAAAGGAGGCCCACGAAATGTAAGCCCAGGCCATTCCAGCAGAAGACAAGGCTCAACTGTTCAAGCGCTAACCCAGAGCGGGCCTCTTATGAACTTATAGGCTGGCAATAATGATCTCATTCTGGGGTGGTTCCAAGTTCACCCCTTTGCCATTTCCACTGGGCACTGAGTAAGTCCTTTGCTTGGGATGTTAGATAACTCTGACGTAACTTCTGCAGACAGAAAGCCCGTTGAAGAACGTTCATAAGCTCTTGTGTGGATGTGTTTTGGTGCAGGCCTTCATCCCAAGTCAAGGTTCAGCATTGTTGGGCACCAGCCAAGGTCCGTCTCGCCAGCTCCCAGATCTCCACAGAGACTGGGTTTTGCACAACACAATTGACCCAGTTTTGGGAGCTGACCTCCACACCACTTCAAAGCATTGGTCTAAAGCAGGAGTAGTCAACCTTAGCTTAGCTGGCTCAGAAATCCTGGGAGTTGAAGTCCACGAGTCATAAAAGAGCCAAGGTTGACTACCCCTGGTCTAACGTGAGGCAAAAACTAGGCAAAACAGATGCCCCGATCTAAAATCCCAGATATGGCAAGAGAATCTCGCCACCTTTAAATCATGGATCAGGAATCCCACACCCCTCTGAGCCCTGAAGTTCCTCACCTGCTTCATTTTGGTGCCCACCATGGAGGCGCTTCTGTCTAGGACAAAGACAATGTTTTTCGGCAACGCAGGAAGATCTTTGGGGGCAAAATAGTGCACGAAGTAGCCATCCAAAACCTGGTGAGATAAACGAAAGAAGGAGAGGTGTCGATGGAGATTGTCAATCAAAACAATCACCTCACAAACATATTGCACAGCACAGGAGAACAAACTCATGGGGACAGGATTCAGCAGTCCATCTGCATCTGAAAAACATTCTGGACAGAGAGGACCACTGGTTTGAAAGATGGGTCGAAGAGGCCATCTAAGTCAAAATTGAATAGTCCTCTCTCAACAGAACAGGGGGGAGGGGGGACACGACATCACCTATCTCCTGTTTACAACACAGTCCTTTCAACAGTTCCAAGAAGGCTCCACACCCATTTGCACTACTCAGGTGACCCTGAAGGCACAGATAAACCTCCAAGTGGCCTCAATGACTCTCAGAAAGAGTACTAATGACCAGATGACTGCAAGGGATATAAATCCTTCCCTCCTCCACCCTTCAGTCAGAACCGAAGAAGCATCTTGGATGAGAAGTGAAACGTTTTCAAAGCAAAAAAGTCAAATTGCCTTTTGGAAAGAGCACCTTTTGGGAAAAGGAGAGAAAAATTCAGGAATTTAATCTCACATCTACCATATTGCCAAATCTTGAATATCAGCAAATCCTGAATTGGGAATTCTAAATGGGGAACCAATAATTGCTTGGTCACATGCAGTTAAAGTTATTGATGACTCTTAGCAACCACATACAGGTAGTCCTTGAATTACCACTGGTCACATAGCAACCGTTCAAAGTTATGACCGACTGGCAAAAGGGGACTTACAACCCAGATTTGAAGTTTGATGGTCGGGCTCCCCTCCATGGTCATGTGACTGAACTTTGGGTGCACAGCAACATGGCCACATTTGTGGGTGTTTGCTGCATCCCATGGTCATACGACTGCATTTTATGACCGTTTACTTCTAGTTTGGTACAATCATGCCCGTAGCAAAACATTGGGTCTCTTAAGGACCATGGCATTCACTTAATGACTGCCATAAAAAGGTCGTAAAGTTGGGTCAGTTGCCTGTTTTACAACCTTTATGACATATGACCATAATCGGCAGGCTTATTGCAGTCATATCTTGAGGACTACCTGTGAATCCATTTTCTCCTTGATCTGTCTCTAACCTCGTCTGCTCCTCTGCTGTTGGATTCGTTTTAAAGAGCGCATGGTAATCGTTCCCTGGCTCCTGCGTGCTTCTCCAAATGGTGAAATTTTGTTATTCTCATAGGAGCTCACCAAAATTTGGTCAAGATTTTGCAATATGCAATGAAATGAAAGGGGCAGGAATCCTTTTATTGATGGGGAAAGGGGTACCAGCCTGTTACAGGCAACTTAGGACCACAATCCAGCCCAGAATTTCTGTTGCTAATCAAGACTGCAACTATCATAAATATGAACCATCTGAATTTTGATGCTGCAACACTTCTAAGTGCTGCAACATTTATAAGTGTGAAAAGTGGTCATAAGTCTCTTTTTCCAGTATTGTTGTAATTTCGAACAGTCGCTAAACGAATGGTAATAAGTTGAGGACTACACCCACCAAGAAGCGCTGGTAGGAATGTTGGGCTGGAAATCATCTCCAAGAACAGATAGCCAGAAATGAGATGATAGACATTCTCCAACATACCTGGACTTCTCCAACACTCAATTCTCTGTTAACATCATATTGGATGGTGAAGTCTCCTAGCATGCCATTCCTTGCGATCTTGGCTTGCTGGACCAAGTTGGGACTGAAGGTTACTTTAGCTAAGGTCTTTGTCTGGCCAACCATGGTTGAAGGGGGTGGAGTGGGGTGATCTGTTGAGAAAATACAGCATTATTTTATAATTTAATTTAATTTAATTTAATTTAATTTAATTTAATTTAATTTAATTTAATTTAATTTAATTTAATTTAATTTAATTTAATTTAATAATTTAATTTAATTTAATTTAATTTAATTTAATTATTTAATTTAATTTAATTTAATTATTTAATTTAATTTAATATTTAATTTAATTTAATTTAATAATTTAATTTAATTTATAGTTTAGTTTAATTTAGCTTTATTATTTATTTTATTTTATTTTTTTATTATTTTTTATTTTATTTTTTTTATTTTTTTATTTTTTTATTTTATTTTATTATTTTGTTTTTATGTTGTTGTTTTATTTTATTATTATATTTATTATCTTATTTTATTTTGGGCATTGGAAAACTGGCTTGCTAGATCAAAAGGGAGGTTATGTTCACACAACCTGCTTGACCTGATTCCTGGAATAACATTTCATTTCTGGGTTTCATAAAATAGACTGGATGATAATTAGCTTGTGGTTCAGTAAATTTTAGGAAACCCAACAATATGAATTCATATTATTAATGTTAAACAGGGTGACTTTGTACAACTTGCACACACACACCCTGAGCTGCTGAATGAAAGGCAGAATGTACTAATAAGTTTTGTGGCTCTAATGGTACATGAGAAAGACCTTTAGAAATGGGGCAAATAGTGGAGGGAGTGTGGATGCAGGGGGGGGGAACGCCGATTATTTCGGAATAGGCTTTTTATGAGTTTGTTTTTCTAATGAAATGCACCATATTTGTATTATTTGTTCATATTTTATTTGAAAAAATTAATAAAAAATTTTAATATATAGAAATGGGGCAAATAAATGCTGCCTGGGGAATGATCAGATAAGAGACAGCATAGCCCTCAGCTGCATAACAGGTGGAGAAAGAGACTCAGGAGAGATCCTCCCTAACTTATCAGCCTGTAAAATAGACAGCGGGAGATTTGTACTCTCAAACTTGCAAGATTCTGTTAATGTAGCCTTACAATAAATTATGCCAAACTCATCGGGTCATGTTTCCTTTCTGGTCTACCTGGTAGGGCTGGCAGCAGCCCTCATTTTATCCACTCACCTTCCGTGCTCCCTGCTCCCTTGCCTTTGTTATTTTGGAGAGGCAGAACTTCCAAAGAATGAATTCCCGAATTCTCAAGGATGTTCACTTCCACACGTAACTTGCCCACCAGCTGCTGGGGTCGTATGCTGACCGTGTACGGATACTTCCCCAACCGTCTCCGTAGGAGCTCCTCGTAGTGCAGGATGAAGGTGGCTTCAACCTTCCGGGGAATTAATCCAGAGGCTTTGAATGTCTCCATTCGGTTTTCTCTGCTGGAAGAATTCAAAGACTTTTTAGGGACACGTCTGGGGTCAATTCAAGCTACTGATTTTTTTATAAAAGAAAGGGCTGTACAATGCAAGATGTATTGAAACTCTACTTTGTTGTAATAAGGTATAATAACAGAAACTTAAAAACCAGGCAGAACTTCCTCAACCTCCTGTTATGCCAAACAGAATCAAGGCAGGTTTACTTTGATCTCCTTTCTCACCCCTTCTTCTTTCCCAGAACAAGTCCTTTGCTTAATAATTCTTGCAATTCTTCATCACGTTTGCCGTATCTCCATAATCCCCAAATCAAGATGATGCAGTCCTTACCTGTCATCTGTGGGTCTTGAATATATTTCTTGATCTGCATGCACCCAGTCTTTGCCAATAACCTCCCCGTAATAAATCTTGCCACCAATAATCCTGGAATCAGTAAAAAAAAGAGGATATGCATGAAAAAAACCTAGAAAGGCAGGTACTGAAGGTTCAATCTATTCTCTGAACAAGTTATATTAATTTTTCAAATTTTTACATCCAGGTGCTTAGGAAGCAGCGAGAAGAAAGGGTAATCAATAGTCCAATAACATAATCATTCATGTATGTATATCTCAGTTTACATCAATAAAGACTCCCTCTCTAGTTCCCTTAAATATTATATCAAGTTCATATTAATACATTTCTAACTAAAGCTCAGTCAATCGATACATTTATCAATAACATTTTACTTATACATATCCAGTCCTGTTTTTAGGTTTTGCTTAATTCTAATTCTATGTTTCAATTTAACCTTTTATAACCAATATTTAAGTTTCGGATAATCTTAATTTCCCTCATTTCATTATAAAATACTTAGCCTAACTAGAATAGACATGGTGGTCCAAAATTTACCTTCTTACTTTGTTCACAAATATATTCCATTTCATTTATTAACAAAAATCTTCCACTGTCACAAATGTATTTCCATCTGACAATCAAAACTATAATCTAACAATTAGTTTTAATTTCGCTTATAAGTCTTAATCCTGAATATTAAACCAATCACTCCAAAGAGCTACTTAGCCCATTAAGTAAATTATTAAATCCCATTTTTAAATCTAACTCTGGCTTTCTTTCTGTGCCAGGCAGGCTTCCATACCAGTACCTCTGAATCCACTGATGTGTCTCCCTTCATTCCCACACATGTTGTACGGTTCAATCTATTGATTCCAGTTTCTTCCCACTTTTCATTTACTGTATTCAGCCTTAAACTGCTTCCTTCCTACGTCGGAATTAGATTACCTTTCGCTAAAAAAAATCGTCTGAATAAAAATCCCATACTGATTTTAGTACCTTTAAAACCTAACAATTTCCCTATGAACTTCACCTTAATTCATTATTTACATCCCTTTTTGTAATAAGAGATCTCTTATTACAAGGTAGTCCACACAAGAAGCACACCAGGAATACAGGTAGTTCTCAATTTACGACCACAACTGAGCCCCAAATTTCTGTTGCTTAGCCAGACAGTTGTTAAGTAAGTTCTGCCCCATTTTATGACCTTTCTTGCTACAGTTGTTAAATGAATCACTGCACTTGTCAAGTTAGTAGCACCGTTGTTAAGTGAATCTGGCTTCCCCCATTGAATTTGCTTGTTAGAAGGTCGCAAAAGGGGATCACGTGACCCCAGGACACTGCGACTGTCATAAATATGAGTAAGTGGCCAAGAGTCTGAATTTTGATCACGTCACCACAGAGATACTGCAATGGTCATAAGTGTGAAAAATGGTCATAAGTAATTTTTTTCCAGTGCTGTTGTAACTTTGAATGGTCACTAAATGAACAGTTGTAAGTCGAGGACTACCTATAGTAACTCTATTGTAAGCTTAGATTAATAGTCTTGCAAATCTAATATTTTTTCTCCCCCCCCTCCAAAAACTAGGGATGGTCCCTGCTGAAACACTGAGATATTTTTTATATCCTTATTCAGTCTGTGATTCTCCCTCCTGTCTCCCAAGGCCATTCGCACAGACCATTACACTTATTTTATGACACAACCGCTCACCTACATGGTAAAATTGGAGACAAAAGCTGTGATGGGTATTTGCATCTCAAAAACGCCTTCTCTGGCTTCTGAGCCGGTATTCACCAAAGTGCAGGAGACCGTGGTAAATGCGTATCGAGAAATTATTGTGGCTTTCACTGAGAATTCAGACATACGGGGTCTGGTCTCCTGTTGGGACATAGCAATATTTCCACAAAAGCAGGACATGTTAGGTCAGCCATCCCAGGTAGACACAAAACACAACCAGATAAGCTAATTCTATTTTATTGTAAAGCTACATTAATAGAATCTGTATTAAATTTGTATTGTCATTTATGTATTTTAATTGATTGTCAGCCGCCCTGAGTCCTACGAGGAGAAGGGCGGGATATAAATCCAAATAATAAAATAAATAAATAATAAATAAATAAATAAATCTTGCAAGCCTGTTATTATAGGTAGTGCCCTGGTTAAGCAAATTCCATTCCTAACTCTGTTTTTAACTTGAATTTATATATAGGATGGAGCTTGTATTTACGAACAGTCTGCTTGTTACTAAAAATGGCGGATGATGTTCTCTTTCCTTGAGCTGATGAATCACTGAAGATATCCATTTCCATTTGTTATTCTTGTCCTGCCCTCAGGTGCTTTGGAGAATAGTTGAACCCCTCTTCTCTGTGACTGCCCCTCAAATATTGGAAAACTGCTATCATGTCAACCCAGTCAATCTATTCTCCAAAGCACCTGAAGGCAGGACAAGAAGCACTGGATGGAAACTAATCAAGGAGAGAAGCAACCTGGAACTAAGGAGGAATTTCTTGACAGTTAGAACAATTAATTAACCAGTGGAACAACTTGCTTCCAGAAGTTGTGAGTGCTCCACCTCCAGTGAAGGTTTTTAAGAAGAGATTGGACAACCATTTGTCTGAAATTGTATAGGGTTTCTTGCTTGAGCAAGGGGTTGTACTAGAAGACCAGCAAGGTCCCTTCCAACTCTATTATTATTCTGTTATAGTCCTCATCTTCATTAGACTAGACCAGGGGTAGGCAACCTTGGCTCTTTTGTGACTCGTGGACTTCAACTCCCAGAATTCCTGAGCCAGCCATGCTGAGGGGAAAGAGAGAGGTTTCCAAGCTGAGCCATGCTGGCTCAGGAATTCTGGGAGTTGAAGTCCACGAGTCATAAAAGAGCCAAGGTTGCCTATCCCTGGACTAGACATATCCAGTTCCTGCAACCATTCATCATACATTTTAACATCTTTTTTATATCGTGGCGACTAAAACCGGATGCAATATTCCAAGTATGGTCTTACCAAGGCATTATAAAGTGATACTAACATTTCATGTGTTGCTGATCCCTATCCAGACTTTGTAGTCTGGTTTAACGCCAGATTTTGGTGTCTTGATTTTGGGATATGCAAAGTGTGTTAAGCAAAGCTACTCATTAAGCTCTCTATCTTTGCTCTTTTCTTTCGCATCGTTGGATAGTAAAGCATCCCTTGATCTTAGCAATAAGAAATGGCTGGACCCACAGCACTTGCTTTATCAGGGAGACAATAACTAAGTCTGGTAAACGTTTAAAATATGTTTTAGTACACCATGGGAAGCTTGATTAGTGTTAACCTTCAGCGGAGTATATATGTATGGTTTAGCGCCATGGTGGCGAACCTATGGCACGTGTGCCACAGGTGGCACGCAGAGCCCTCTCTGTGGGCACGCGTGCCATTGCCCCAGTCCTAGGCCTTCAGCTGGGTTTTATAAAACCTTTTCTCTTTAGGCTTCCGCTGCCATGTGCAAAAAAAAAAAGGTTCAATTAATCAATCAGTTTCAACTTCTTGCGGGGAAAAAAAAAAGATCTCGCAAAGTTGGAATTGATTGATTGAACTTTTTAGTCCCACCCAGTCTGCCGTTACCACCGCAGCCACGCCCACCCAATGGGCCACGCCCATCCAACTGGCCATACCTACCCAATGGGCCACACCCACCCGGCACCCGGCACCCGGCACCCGATGATACATAAATGGGTTTTGGGTTGCAGTTTGGGCACTCGGTCTCTAAAAGGTTCGCCATCACTGGTTTAGCGTGTTTCCAAAATAAGGGAATGCAAGAGCTGGAAGGGAGTTTGGAGAGCATCTAGTCCAACCCTTCTGCCTTTGCAGGAATCCCCATCTTACTGGCTGTCCTATTTAGCCAGCTGATTGCTCTATGCATGGTGTAGACTCAGAAAAAAATGGGTCAGTCCAGTAATTGGATTAAATGTATAATGGCAATGCAAACACTGTCTGCAAATACAATACTGTAGTCTTTAAAATAATGTAGAAGGGAGGCTGTGTTAATCTTTTTTTTTTAAATGTCCAAGCATAATCTACAGTTCTGGGATTTCTTAGTCATCTCTCATCCCAATACTAATTACATCAGACTTTGCTCAGCTCTTGGTTGGTCAGGGAATCATCCAAGCTGCTGTTACCACCTGCTCTAGAGGGGTAATAAAAAAGAAAAGATTTAGAAATGTGTCTTTATTCTTCATCTGTTCTTGTTTCTGCACAAGACTTGAGAAAATGGCTCAGATAGTTTGCATTTTGCAGCTGTAGGAAAGATTTCCTGATACAAGCCCGTCTTTCTCCTTACAAAATTGGGAGAGTGTGATTGCTGACACTTTCTTGCAAGAACAATTCACACTTAGAATATTTACCCACCAATCTCTGCAGAAATCGTGTTTGTCTTGGAATTCTCCGTGCAACCTGCAAAGGAACAGAGACCATCACTCAGTGTGTTTTCCGCGAAAAATGGAAACCAAGATGTTCATCAGAAGAAAAGTGATATTTTAGGCTCGTCAGAAGCCATTGCTGCATCCTTAGGCTGTCTGCTAAGCCTCTATTAATAATGAGAGAGAATTGGGGGCAGTTAGCATCTGAATATAAACTCATATAATTTCTCATTATTTAACCAGTGCACTAACTGAACACTTATTGCTCAAAATATAGACTTTTTCCACGTTTTGCAGTTTCTTATGTTACTAAAAAATATACATTACATGAAAACTGCCATGTGAAAGCCGTAAATGAAAGAATTGGTCATAAAGTTACTTTTTCATCATAGTTGTAACTGAGAACAAATGCTAAATGAGGCAGTTGCTAAATGAAACTATTGTTGTTGTTGTTGTTATTGGTATTATTATTAAAACTCTTAGGAAAATGCATCAATTAGTGAAAGTAATGTACAAATGACTTATTTGAGGAACAGTATTTTACACACATACACATAACCCACTCCATACAGTCACACACAAACGTATAAAAATTATGTCCATTACAGTAAAAATACCTATATTTAGGAAAATACACACCAAAATAAATGTATGTTTTAATGCAAACTCTTTTACAAAAGTTCTAGATCCAGTTAAAAGGATTAGAGAGATTTTCAAACAGGAGAAATAAAACAAATAAAACAACTTCCTCATTCCTATTCTGTATATTCTTCAACAATGTTCTCCTGTTATCCAGCGAAGTAGAACTAAAAAGAAAGTTTCCACCAATTCTAGTTGTCATATTTTCCCTCCCATGGGTTCTTGAATTGTCAACTTCCCGTCTTGTGAAGCATGTAACAAGCTCTTTTTCATGCTATTTAATTCTCAATAAAGATATATTATTGTGGAGGGCATTGGTAACAAGGGGTGCCGAACCTTGGCAACTTTAAGACTTGTGGACTTCAACTCCCAGAATTCCCCAGCCAGCATGGCTGGCTGGGGAATTCTGCGAGTTGAAGTTCACAAGCCTTAAAGTTGCCAAGGTTGGGCATCTCTGGTGTAGACATAGCCATTTCCTTCTCTGTAATATTAAGCCCATGCTGCATTCTTTGAATATTTAACTTCTGCATCACTTTTACTATCCAGGGTTTGTTTGGCTAAGGAGGCTTTTAGCTGCTCTGAACGTTCCTTAGATGGAGACCAAAGTATAGGTTATTGTTAGGATATTTAATTTAGTAGCTGACATAGTAAAATTGTACAATGGGCCACAACAAACAGTTGGAGTTGATTGACTGGAAAGTACATGAGGCAATCTATGCTGTGATTGGTTGCTGTGGGTGTAAAGGGGGCATTTCCCTTTTTTCCCGCCTTTTTCTTCTGTGTATGCTGCTTGAATTTACCTCACAATGATTTTACCTCATAATGTTCCTGTGTTCCTGACTATCTTTAGCATATAAATGTTAAATATATTTATTTATATAAAAGTACAAGTTCGTGTCCATGTCTCTGGAGTTATGTGGACAGCTGCGGCCGCAATTTCCTGACAGTTATAAATATTTAGATTACAAAAAATCCTACATAGCAGCGCGCTGCCAATATTCTCAGCCATGGAGTTCGTATCTCCACAGACTCACCCTGGACACCTGGACTCTCCCTTTGGAGGAGGCCATGACAGACCTAGATCAAAGAGGTGGATGGAATTTGCTTTGAATTCTCCTCTGCTGGGCTGAATGGCGAACGTGCTGAAGTTGCATAAAAGAATGCAAGACTTTTGACTCCAAGCCAAGCTGTTTTTTTGTTTTTTGTTTGGAGAAGAGAGAGGAAAAAAAATAAATGTGAAAAATGTTTGAACTTGCAAGTTGGAAAGTTCTTGCTACAGTCATCCATGCTTTAATCTTAACATGGTTTGCTTGCAGCAAAACAGTGGATTAGGGGTTAGGTGAGGTGATATTCTACCTGTAAAAAACCTCAGGTATCTATTTATAGGGAGCAGTATCTCTCACCATTTTTCTCAACACAGATAGTCCTTGACTTACAATAGTTGGTTTAGTGACCATTTGAAGTTACAACAGCACGGAAAAAAGTGACTTGGGACCATTTTCCACACTTACGACCATTGCAGCATCCCGATGGTCCCGTGATCAAAATTTGGAGGCATGGCAACTGGCATGTACTCATGATAGTTGCAGCATACTAGGGTCATGTGATCCCTTTTTGCTACCTGCCAAGCAAAGTCAACGGGGAAGCCAGCTTCAATTAATAACCATATTACTAATTTAACAACTGCAGGGATTCACTTAACAACTGTGGCAAGAAAAGTCGTAAAATGGGGCAAAACTTACTTAACACATTTCTGTCTCAACAACATAAATTTTGGGTTCAATTGTGGTCGTATGTTGAGGACTAGCTGAACAACAAGATCCAGAGATACTCTGAATAAATGAGACTATCCGGTGGCTTCTGCCCTTTGCAATTGTGACGACATGCAGACAACAACACATATGTACACCTGCCCTTGTGTCCCGATCAGTATACACTTGAGGACCTCATGGCAGAGCGACAGAGCGCGATTAATGTTGCTAATTTCTGGGCAAGATCTGTTTAATTTTACATATATTAACCTTAGATTTTACATTTTAAATGTTATGTCATATTGTATGTCTTATTTTAATTGTGATGCTTCTGACACGAATAAACAAAGCAAGTTCAGCTTAACAAGACTGGGCAATGCACTCAGCTCCTATAATTATATATTATATGCTGGTCCCTGTAAGCATGAACTTTTTTTGTCGGTTAAAAAATAATTGTTCCCCGAACGTCTGATCAAGGTGCAAAGCACAAGTGATAGAAACCTGGAGATAAAGCAAAACCTGTGTATTTCCTGCAACTTTATATATGAAAGTGCTTTGAAAAGCACTACAAACATACCCCCAGACAGCTCCAAACATCACCCTGTAATCATGGATAAATACAGTACAAACTGCAAGGCAATGCAACATTAACTTTTCTGATGTACAAAGATTAAAACATGATTTTCACCATTACTTGGGCAGTTAATGTTTTAGCCAAGCGAATCCGTGTTTAGGGACCTGGAACGTAGATTGTCGTTCCTTAGTGCCCCTGGCTGTGTTTAAATGGCTTTTTAAATTTAGTTTCTGCTGTTAGTCTCTCGAAAAATTCCTTTGAGGCTCTGCAGAAGCCTAGCAGCACAGTTTGAAAAACTCTAGACTGGTGGTGGAAAGCCTTGACATTACATTCTGCAAAATGAAGAACGGCAGCTTGCCGTCCCTTCCTCAAACTTCCTGGATGCAAAAAGGGAGTTTTAAGACACACATTTTTTTCTGCATTACCATTGCATGGGATTCTGCCCGCCCAGAGAGATGATTTTATGCTTGCTTATATGAAGCTTCAAATGCCAAGGCGTTGGCGCGAAACCAACCCTTCCCTATGCCAAAAATATATGAGACCTTTTCCAACTCTCTTCCTTCACGGTTCTTGGACCGAAAAGGAGCGTAGAGCAAAAGGCAGCGACTCAGATCTTAAAAGGGCAGGATGCAAAGTGGGCTATCATCAGGAACATTGGTGGAATTTACAGTACAGCTGCGAATGGCAGAATAATTATTTTTGGTGTCAGGAGGGGGGATCCCCCCAACCGGCTAGAGAATGGAATACAGCACACATGGAATGAATTAGAGGGAATTGGAGAGTACTTTTTCAAATTACAGGTCATCCTCAACTTATGACTGATTGCTTAGAGAGGGTTTGAAGTTACGACAAGCATCCTTGGTGTACAGGTAGTCCTTGATTTATAACTAGAGAGGGAAGGCCTGGGAAAAAAACCTAGAAAAATAGGGGAGAGAAAAAGGATTTTTTTCCCCATTTTTCCATTTTTGTTTGGAAAAAAACAGAAAAAAAACTTGTTTTTTCCCCAATTTTTCTGGGGGTTTTTCCAGGCCTTCCCATCTCTGTTTACAACAATTTGTTTGGTGACTGTTAGAAGTGACAAAAGCACTGGGGAAAAATGATTTATGACCATTTTTCACACTTACCACTGTTGGAGCATCCCCAATGGTTACATGTTGAAAATTCAGATATTTGCCAACTGACTCATATTTATGAAAGTTGTAATGTTTCAGGGTTATGTTATGACCTTTGCGACCTTCTGACAAGCAAAGTCAATTCACTTAACAACTATGTTACTAACTTAACAACCGCAGTCATCCACTTAACAACAGCAGCAACAAAGGTCGTTGAATGGGGCAAAATTCACTTAACAACTGTCTTGCTAAGAATGGAAATTTGGGGATCAATTGTGGTCGTATGTTGAGGACTACCTGTACTTATGACCTGGCTCTGAACTTCCAACAGCCACCTGCAAGGTCTTGTGACTGCATGTCAGGCGCTCAGGTGCGTATACACTCATTTGCAGTATCCCGCACTCACATAATCGGGTTTAACGATGGTTTTATCGGAAAGCGTTAAGAGCCATGGTGGCGCAGTGGTTAGAATGCAGTATTGCAGGCTGACTCTGCTCCCTACCAGCAGTTCGATCCTGACCAGCTCAAGGTTGACTCAGCCTTCCATCTTTCCAAGGTCGGTAAAATGAGGACCCAGGTTGTAGGGGGCAAATAGGCAGACTCTGTAAACTGCTTAGAGGGGGCTGTAAAGCACTGTGAAGCAGTATATAAGTCTAAGTGCTATTGCTATTAGTGACTGCCGCAAAAGAGAAGATAAAATGAATTAAAGCAGAGATTAAGCTGGGCATGAACCAAAGATAATTGGAAGAGAAGGGAGGCAGAGGGGAAAGGAAAGAATGAGCTTAACTATCATTATTTATTTATTTATTTATTTATCTATTTATTTATTTATTTATCAAACTTATATGCCATCCATCTCCCTTAAGGCGACTCCAGGCGGCTTACGGACATTGCCTAAAACACCGTATGAAACATGCAAACTTTAAATAAAGATCTTAAATTTAAAAGTTCAGTCAAA